AGAATGACTGTTAAGAATATTTGATAACAATATTCAACATTGGATAGCTCGCTTTCGCATGAACAGGTTTTCTTAAAGGAAACTAATTTCAACAGTCCATGAAAAGGTCTCGAGAGGATTCTATTGTTCGAATCCCAACTAAGAAAACATTCATTTAGTCTATTCAGTCTTTGCGAAAACCACGTGAATTGAAAACTAAGTTTGTTAGTTACCTCGCACGTCGGCATTACGCTATATACAGCCCTCGGGCCTGCGGCCCTCGGGCTGTATATAGCGTAATGCCTCCGTTCTCGGTAACTAACTCTAATAAAAACTAATAAAAACTAATACTAATAAAACATGATTTATTTCGTCATACTTAAAAAATACCACTTGCAAGCAGACGATAATTTAATTTTAAGTTTTTACACACTTAAAAGAGCGACTGTCCAGTAATATCAAGCAAAATCGAGAAYAGCCGGCCACAGTGAAAAAATCAAATTTCTTGAAACTTAGTTTCTGGACACCTTTYTGTGAGCCTACTAACGTGGTCAAATCGGTTTTTTGATCTACGTTGAGAAATTCGAGTTTTTGAAGAAAATTGGTTTTACCGTGATTTGGTCTAAAATTAGCATATGAGACCGCTAAAATTCGCTACTTTATAAAAGTTAGTTCTTCAATGAATTGGAATATTTTTGAGCAATTTTTTTACATAATCCGAAAGCATACATTCTAACAGGTTGCCCGGAAACAATTTTGGCTTTTTAGTGTATTTTTAACGGGGAGAAAAAATGATTTTTGTCGGGACAGTTTTTATTCCGTCGCTAACCTTGGTTTTAGTTGAAGTTTCCAAACACATTTTTCCCCATGTGGTCATTCTCCAATTTTTACCAAACTCACCCTCAATAAGGATGAAATATCAGTATAAACCGAGGTGGAAAAATATTTCTGGGTTTTTACACTGGCAGTGCGATAGCAGCGATTAAAAATCACGATTTTTTGTCTTGCAATATGCAAATTAGCATTTTGTCTACAATTACTCCGATAGATCATTCGAATGATTTGTTTTCTCTAACTTCGAAACCAACTTAATGTATCATCTGATCGAATTAAATGAGGTGATTACTAGTATATCAGACACTTTCAAACAATAAAAGCGATTGTATCTTGACCTTTAGCCGCATATTTCCTGTTAACGCTTTCTGTGAGGATAATCCGCAAGGCGCGTGTTTTTGACATCAAAACATGTGACGCGCTATTTATCGTGTGTTATGAGAAAATCGCGCGTTAGTGAATGAAAGTTTTAAAACARMTATAAGTATGAGTATGAGAAAAATAAAAGAAAATTTCTAGGTAGGCATTTGTCGAGGTCTACTATACGAAGAATAGCAAGAAGTGATGCCGAGTAGTTATAAACATGCATCTAATTAGTAAAGGAATGTGTTTTAACACATTTAAATTAAAATTAAAATTTCATTACTGAAAGTGGCATAAAAAAACAGGGTATTCCAGGTAAAGTTTAAGTTTAGCAGTTTCAGAACTCGAGTCAACATCACTCATGGAGTTGTGCTCTTTCCAAGCTCTTGTGGGTGGCCACTGTGGCTTCGATCTCAAAGACCGATTTCAATGCTCGACCAGTGTTTTGCTTACAACATGTCAGCGTAATATTGCTGAACATAAGCGTTATTTTAGTTTTGCTGGAGTACAAAGTGAGGTTAGAGCTTATTCTTGCGAGATCAAATATATTCAATATTCCAAAAAACGTGGAAGGTCTGACTATTTGTCCGAATCATCGTGGATTATTGGGGATAAGCTGGAGAAGAAAATCATCAAAATGCTGCGTTCCAAGTGTTCTATCTAAACACAAAGAAACCGTTAGAGGCAAGCCGAAAGCTGAACGAGGTTTGAGTAAAGACGCATCTAAAGCTATACTTAATGAAACTGGTGTTTTTGTTCCTATTGGTTCTGGTAAGTTGAATCAGAGACTGAGAAACTTGTACACAATGTGGATGATTACGGGTCCAATGATGAACGCCATTCCTTGATCTGAAGAGATATATTTCAACATAAATTTAATTTAATTTAAAGATGTTTCAAATATAAGCTACAATTACCACTGCCCTTCTCATTTTTGCTTGAAATCAGACCGTCTGCCCTTGACTTTTTATATCCATTCCCTTGAATACATTAATTCAGAGCGTATTAAGAGCCTCTATTGATTTGCCTATTTTTAGCTTTCTCTTTCCCTTCCAGTGGTAGTGCTGCTCTTGATCTTCCTTAAAAAAAACACCGATTGTTTAGGAATTAATCTGAATCCACAAAGATCAGTCCCACAACCATCGTTTGGATTAACCCTTAACGCCAAGCAACATCACTTGAAATTAAGTCATCAAATTACAATTACAATTACAACTTTTTTTTAGAGGTATCATTTCCTTTTTGTCGTTAAATTGATAGGAACATGTGAGGGGGGTGGGAAAAGGGCGTGGCTGACTGATTTTTAACCCGCCTAAGAGATTGCTCTACCAATATTGTTAAATTAAATCAGTTACAATGATAATAACGCAGAGAAAAATCAATACCGATGTGCTGTCTCTTTTCTTTTCCGTGACACCGTTAGAGATATGAGCTTGCTGGTCGTCATCTTTTGATACATGAACAGCTCGTCAATAATCGATCTCCCAAACTTCTGGGCTATGTCCATCAAAATGACTAGCAACTTTAGTTGACAGTACTTTCTGAAATGCGATCATTCTCTCGAGTAATAGCCTAGACGACAAGCTTTGCTGTGGCTAATGCACGGAATGATGTTGTGAGAATACGTGAGCAGATCAGTGTAAACACTAGACACAGCCAGTGCGCATTATTGCTCTCAGCTCTATTTCCTTCTTAAAAGACTGACTTTACATATGTTTGATAAATACAAAAGCAATCAGTTGACTTCTGAATAACTCTCATCAGACCTAAAAAAAACACGGTAAGAGAGCCGCCTTGACCTAAGTCGTCTGCGTGTTTTCTTTTAATTACTTTTCTCTCATCCGTTGATGTGTCTCTACGGTTAAACAGTAATACCGGACAAGCGATACATTCGTGACACTCTTTAAGTTTCGTAATAGAATTCCCAAGCGAACAGATTGTATCACGCGATTGTGTACGTTCATTGTCTGGCAAGCTAGGATTTTTGGCTGCATCCTGATTTCAAGACATTGATTGCAGAGAGGTTGATATTTGTACTATTTTCCAACCAGATCAAAGTTTAGAACGTAAGTGGATTGACATAGTTTGGGTGTTCTGATACCCTTTGACGACGGGTATTTTTTTGTTGATTTTGGAGCTTTTTCGACCCTAACATCTTGATAAAATAATTGACTTTCATATAAGGTGCTGTCAATAAAACTATTTCGGATTTGAATTCCCTAGGGAGCGTTAATTTATGCAGGGTTTTGTAAATTTAGGTCAGACCGTTTGTTTATCGACCGGTTGGGCCTAAATTTGCCCAAAAACCCGTTTATAAGTGTTTTTTTGAGCTTTTTGCTGCCACAGGAGCCCCTAGGCTTGCATCATTAAGCTTGACTAGTCGGCAGAGACAATCTTCTGGAAGAAATCAGAGGTGGAAAGCGGTTTTTCGAAGACAATGGCTCCAAGTCATGCTTTGTTTTGAACTGGAGACACCATTGTAAGATCGCTTTCCTGGTCCATCTGTGGCAGATTTTCCAACCTACCAAGGTAATTTTGGCAATATTTGACAACCAAAGAATGCAATTGGACCAATATTTTGCCTGTAGGTGCGGGGGAGCTCACACTTATAAAATATTTCTTAAAAGAAGAATGCTGGAAGATTTATGTCGAAATTTTGTCTCTTCCCGTCATGCATTTCGGTCGTGCATAGGAGTGTATTGTACTGGGTGCTCAAAAGAGGGCTGTTGAGAGGTCTGCAGTGACTTTGACAGAATAAAAACGGGAAAATGAGGACGTGCTATCAAAGGGGTTTGCAAGTGAAGTGGACTTTTTGCTACAAAACATGTTTTGACGCTAAAAATTGAGCTGGAAATTAGTGTTTCCTGTAGTCCTC